TATTTTTATTGAATTCTCTAATATAGTTTTAATTTCAATACTTTTTAATATGAATAAATCTAATAAAGTTTTTTGTACCTATTCAAAATATCATCACAAAGATACAGAAAGAGGGATTGGATTGTTTATTTCAAAGTCTACTAGGACTAGACATCGTAAACGAAATGATGAAAATTCATCAGTCTTAGACTCTATTTTGAGTTCCAGTTCTGAAACAGCTTCGATTTTAAGTCTTTCAGATGTTTGTACTAGTTCTAGAAGTGAATCATCTATCCTTATTGAGCTATTCGGATCTAATAATATGATTTCTACGTATGTTTTGTTATAATGTCATCGTTTACATTCTGATGTTCACTAATATTTAAAGATCTGAAGGGGAAGCATCTTTGAATTTATCTGATAGGGCAGAAAACTTATCTGTTGACGAAGGTTATATTGATGAAGAATCGACTATACAAGACATTGACGATAGTTGAAAATGTTTCAAAGAGTCTTATATAGATTATGAACCATCCTTGGGTAGAACATCTTCAAATGGGACTGATGAATTTTCTGACTCGAATATATCTCATATCGAAATTTCAGGTATAAAATATGATAATTAAATAAGCAATATATTTAAAACATTATTTAAATATTTTTTATTAATTTAGAATCTGAAGAACACATACACTTATCTGATGAATTGGCTTGTGCTATAAGGTTATTCCAGGTCAAGTCTCGTTGTAATTTGACGGATGATGCATTTTGACAAACTATGATGGCAGTTAACGGTGGTAATGTCAGTTTATTTCAAGTCAGATGAACATTACAATCAATTGTTCTAATAGAGTCTACATGGATGGATATCTGTATCAATTCTTACTGTGCGTATACAGGAAAATACAAAGATGATGAATTATGTAAATAATGTCATATGTCGAGATTCTAAACTGAACATTCAATGGGAAAAAGATTTCCTCAACATCAGATGGCCTTTTTTTCTATTAAAGATCATCTTAAGATTCAGTATCAAGACCCAAAAGGTTCCGAAAGGTTGAAATATCATATAAATTATACTCATCGTCAAGGTTTTAGATCAAATGGTAAAATCGGCGATATATTTGATGGTGTCAGATACCAAAATCTATTATCCAATGGATATTTCGAAGATGATAGAAATATTGCATTGACAGAGTCCATTGATGGTTACCAGATTTTTCGATAAAAGACGGAAGGTTGTTGGATAGTTCTTATGATTAACACTAATATATGTCCTAAAGAACGCGTTAAAAAAGAACATCTTCTGATAACAGCAATCATTCCAGGGCCAAAAGAACCCAAGTGCTTTAATTCATTTATGTATCCTATAGTCAAAGAACTAAAAGAATTAGAATGTTTGTTAATTT